TTATGGTTTATTTTTATGCATCTTGCATAAAATAAACGGGATCATTATGTAAAGCATCTTGAACTCAAAGTTCCAATTTATTAAGAGAGCCATGTTGGCACATCTGGGAATGCCCGAATCTGGAAGCTTCCTGGTTTTCCCCACCCAGTTGAAAGTTCAAGATCTTGCCCTCACACCCACAAGTCCATCACATGGTCCAATCTTCCACTGCCATGCTGGCAGCTTCCACACATCCAGTTCCAGTCAAGTGCAGAGATACAGAGACAAACAATGATCTTGGCTTTCTAAAAAGAATTTTATTATGGCTACATATCATCTAATTCCGTATAATCCCCCCTTCCATTTTCCCACAATAGAAAATGCATAGTAAAATAATAGAAAGTGTGGCAGGCCTCAGATCCAAAACAAAAGATGGCTGCAGGGCTGACAGGTGGCCTCCCCTCAGAAGAAAAGTGTGTCCTGTAAAAAGAGTAATGTAGCATAACTAACCACATCCCCCTCCCCCTTGGGGGACTCTTTGGCTTATCGGGGAATTTATCATGGAATTGTTTTACTAACTTGTCAGCTTTTACATTCCAACTTTTCACCCATGTAGCTTCAGACAAAGGGTACCCCTTCCAATTGCACTAAATATTGCAAACAACCTCTATACAATCTAGAGTCTAATTTTTTCCCCACTTTGTAGTGAGTTTCTCCTTGTATGGAGGAGTGGGTGGTTGGGTCTGCAGTCTTACATTAAACCCAATCACAGGTTTCAGCATGCCACAATGAAAGACTGGATGGATTTTCCCTAGAATTCTAGGCAGACTGAGTTGAACTGTAACTGGATTAATTATTTTTACTATTGGGAAGGAACCTAAAAGTTTAGGCCCTAACTTCTTGCTAGGCATTCTTAACCACATATATTTGGTAGACAATAAAACTTTATCCCCCACACGGAAGGGGGGTTGGAGCGACCGGTGCTTGTCAGCTTGTTTCTTGTATTCTTCTACCACTTCTGCCAGAGCCCTTTTTGTATTCTTCCACCCCTTTTTTAGAGTGTCCATCCATTCAGTCAGAGACATGGAGGAGGAGGGGGCCTCTCTGAGCAGTTCAGGCATGGGAACAAATTCCATGCTGCTAGTAACTTGAAAAGGAGTTAATTCAGTGCTGCTATGGACAACATTGTTATACGTTACTTCGGCAAATAGTAGCAGGTTGCCTTGTTGGTAATCTACATAACAACAGATGTATTGTTCGACCATTGCATTCATGAGTTCCGCTGCTCCATTTGAATGAAAGATCAAGCTAAGTCCTTGCATGAACCCAATGGACCTCAGGAACTCCCTCCAGAACTTGTTGGTGAATTGAACTCCAGGGTCAGAGATATTTCTCCTGGGTACACCGTGTAGGCAGTAAATGTGTTTGACAAACGTCTTTGCTAACTTCTTAGCAGACGGTGATCCTGAGCAAGTGATGAAATGAGCTTGCTTGGAAAATAAGTCAACGACTGTCCAAATTACTTTATTCCCGCTGCTGTCTGAGAGCTCTACAATGAAATTCATTGTGATCTCTTCCCATGGTTGGCTGGGGCTGGTCACCTATTGCAATAATCCAGGGGGCTTGCCAGGTTTCATTGTTGCACATATGGAAGAGATTTTCACATAGTCTTCCATTTCTGTTTTCATCCTAGGCCACCAAAATTGATGTCTAGCAAGGTGGAGCATTTTTAGGAATCCAAAGTGACCACCTAGTTTTGTGTCGTGGCTTTGCTATAGTACTTCCAGCCTCAGGCTTGCGGGAATGTACATTGGATCCTTTCCAGGCTAAGCCATCTCTCATTGTCAGGATGCTTTTCTTGTCATTGAGCCAGAGGTCATTTGGCCACACCAATTTCATTGCAGCAGTCAGCTTGTCCTGGCTGGGAGTAGATGGTCTCCTGGTCTGGCCTTGGGTGGTGACTTGAGCTGCCGTTTGTTTGGGGTAAATTATGGCATGAATTACCTCCTCCCTCTAACTGTCATATTGCAGTTTCCTAGATAAGGCATCCACCAGCAAGTTCTTCCCAGCAGGGATGTGCTTCAGTTCGAACTTAAATCTCTTGAAGTATTGTACCCAGTTGACTTGCTTTGGAGACAGCTTCCTGGGGCTTTTTAAGGCTTCAAGATTTTTCTGATGAGTCCAGACCTCAAATGGCACTTCCCCACCCCCTCTAGGAAATGTCTCCAGATCAGTAGTGCCCAATGGATCGCATAGGCTTCTTTCTCCCAAATGGCCCACCTCCTTTCAGGGGCGGTGAGTTTTTTGGAGACATAAGCTCATGGCAAGAATTCACCATCTTTGTCTCTTTGCAACAGCATTGCCACTACAGCCACATCACTGGCATCTGCCTGGATTATGAATTGCTGTTCTGGGTCGGGGTGTGGCAGAATGGGCTCTTGGGCAAAGAGCTGTTTTAATTTCTCAAATGCTTTTAGACAGTCCATTGTCAACTCAATAGGCTGATTTGGCTTCAGCTTTGTCAGTGATGGGCCTGTTTTTAACAGTTCAGTCAG